AGACAAAGTCCTTACGAGGGCCTCTAAGGCCCCATGTGACCCGGCGTCTGCCCAGCCACGCAGGCCTCCTTTCTATTCATCAAACACGCCAAGCACATGCCCACCTTTCCCCTTGCTCTTGCCTCTGCCTGGACCGTTTTCTCCCCAGGTAGCTGCATGCTGCCCCCCTCACTTCATTCCTGTCTTTACTTCAATGCCGTGTTCTCAGTGATGGCTTCCTTGACCACTCTAAGGGTATCACCCACCCTCCCCCGCCAAAATAAAACACATCCTTATCCTCTTCTCTGCCACAGGTCCCCCTGTGGAATCTACCACCACCTAATGTAACATACCCTGTGTATTGATCTGCCTGCTGCCTCTTCTCACACTAAAATACCAGCTCTGCGATCTGGCTTTGCCTATTTTTCCTTGTGTTCATTGCTGTATCCCTGGCACATACAAGGTGTTGAAACACAAACTGATCAATGAATGCATGAAATTGTCTAAGAGAAGTTTTAATGGGTGATACGCTGATCTTATATTTTTGTGGTTTTCAATCCCTAAGGACAGTAGAGTAGGACGAGAAATTAGTGTTAATTTTTAAAAAGGGCAGCAGGCCAGAGAGATACATGAAAAGCCTCACCGATCTTGGGCAGGCAAACTCTAGATGGGAGAAGGAGACATGTGAGCTCCAGAGGCAGCCAGCGACGGCCGATGGTGAACCGTTCAACCACTGTTAGGTGCCCAGACCTCGCTCTCGGATCATCCCAAGCACAGCTTCCCCCCAGCTCCAATTCCATATTTCTATTCACTAAGTAATTAATTTATGTATTCAATGTATATTTATTGAGCAGCTCATACAAACCAGGCCATTTGCTAGCTCCTGGGCACACAGCCATGAGCGGAGTACATAAAGTCTCTGCCTCGTGCAGCGTAGAGTCTAGTGAGAGAGTCCGATAGTAAGGTAATTTTGGATCCTGATAAATAGTAAGAAGAAAATAAAACAAGCTAGAACGATGGCACGGAACTGAAGGTCACAGAGGCCTCTCTGTGGAAATGAAATTTGAGCTGAGTGCAAAAGAATGAGAAGGAGCTCATCCTGCAAAGAGCAAAAGCAAAGAGGTTACAGTCCTGAGTGTGAGTGTGGCAAGGAATCAATTTCAGGAACAGGAAGGAGGCCAGTGTGGCTGAAGTGCTGGGGACCAGGGGCGAAGGCTGAAGGAGTCCGAGCTTCCTCGGTAATGGGGGTGGGGGTCCCCAGCACACATTCTCCAAAAAGTAGTGTCTTTCTTATTGAGCTCACAGGACACACATAGAGAAGGTAGAGGTGTGTTTGGTTTTTCTGAGCAAAACCTCAATTCAGTACAAAAATGTGTACAGAGCCTTCTGTGTACCACTCACTTCACTCAAAATAGAACTCAGCTTTCTATTTTCTAGACTCCAAGCCCAGTGATCCATCACCTTGGCCCCTGAATCTTCTCCCCTTCTCCCTCCGAATCTGTCCAGTGTGAGCCTGGACACATCCTCCCCGAGGTCCCATGGGCAGCTGTCCCACTCTCTCTCTCTCCGTAGCCCACCCTTCAGCAGCTGCTTCTGTCCGAGGAAGCGTAAACGGACTATTTAAAGACATAGGGGAGGGCGGTGCACAGGAGGCCTCGTATGGGCTCTGTATGAACAGAGGAGGCCAGAGGGCTGGTGACCATCCAAATGGGCCTGCAGATGGTTTTCCAGGTCACCAGGGCCAGGCAAGTACACTGGGAAGCGAGATGACCACAGGATGCACACTACTGGGGTCAGAGTAGGAGGGACCCGCTGTGATTGAAAGGTGCCACCTGTCAGATCTCCACGGGAAATCCGAGCCTCCCAGGCAGGGGAAAGTGTTGTACCAACAGGCAGTAAACAATGCTCTTCAGGGACCCAAGGCTCTTGAAATGGGGGTGGGGTGGAAGGAGAGAGGAAGGTGGAGGGGGGGCAAGGACAGAATTGCTGGGGGCTAGAGGCTGCTCAGGAGTGAGGCCACTCCGCTGGAAGAAGGAGACAACTCTCAAACCCCCCAGGCAACGGCCCCACAGGTAAGACAAGCCCTGGGTCCCTGTCTAAGGGCCTCCCTCTGCCTGTCAACTCCTCTCCCACCTTCCAAGGATGGGAACCTCCAAGCAGGACCCCAGAGTTGGAGAAATCCAGGCTTCTTTCTAATTTTCACTATCACTGTGTCAACTCTCTTTAGATTCCAGAGCTCAGGGGCTCAGCCTCTGGGGGTTGGGCAACCCGAGATTTACCTAGACAAGCCTGCGGGTGGCCACCCATGCAGGGGGCCTGGTGGAGCAGAGAGGCTCACCAAGTGGATTGGGTGGGGAGGCAGATTATCTAAGCAGTCAAGCGGCCTCTCCACAGGCTGGTGCCTGGCTGGGATGGGGGGGCGGTGCAAGCCTCGAGCACGGGAAAGCAGATGGGTGACAGTGGGTCTGGAGGCATCAGCAGACCCGTCAAATGTCATCTACACAATTTGGGGCTCGGATCTGGGCTCCTGGGAGGACAGAGGAGCTGTCTGCAGTGCTGTTTCAGACACAAGACCAGGATGATGTGAGGCTTCTGGGGAAGGAAGGGGGAAGGAAAGTGGAGAGGAAGGAGGGAAAGAAAGAGGTCTGAACTCCTCAGCCATGCCTGACTGTTCTCGCCCCTTCCTCTGGGCTGGAGCCTTTGGAAGGGCACTGGCTGTGGATCAGTGGCAGTAGCATCTTTGACACAGGCTCCAGGCTAGCTGTCAGGAGACTTGGGTTCTAGGTACAGTTTGGACATTTCACTGTCCTACAATTTCGGTCAACGCCCCCAGCTTCAAGTTTTTAATGCGCCCACTGGGAACAATCACACAGGCTCCCAAGGGTTACAGAGTGGGGGACAAGCAAGCAAGGTAAAGCGAGGCATTACGTGAGCTGTGAGCCGCTCGAGATGTTACTGCTGGGGGTCAGAGGTGTTATCCTGGTTTCTGAGCATTCTGAGTTTCCTCACTCCTTGTCTACTTATGACACGCCTGGAAGGTGGGAAGCTGAGGTGTGTGCATGTGTGTGTGGGTGTGTGTACACACCTGTCCTTCCCCTCCACCCCCCTAAGTGTGTAGCATGTCGACAAAGGGAAAATGGTTGCAGCACTTTGCTATGTCTTGGCCAATTGCTACGACACTTTGAGGTTAAAAAGGGCTTGTTATCAACTTACCAGCGTCAGTTCTCTTTGCCTTGTCTGTCCAACTAAAAGCTCTCGTGGCCGGGCAAGGGCTTTAATCTGGCACAAGGCTGGGCAGAGGCCAACCTACACCGAATGAGCCGATGTGTACTGAGTGTTCCCTCCACACCAGGTGGGCCTCACACTGCTTCCTATGCATTGCCTTCCCTAACCCTCCACTGTCCCTGTACGGGACCTATTTTCACCTCCCAAAGTTAAAACACTGGGAAGGCAGGCTGCTTGCTCCAGGTCATGCAGGAGTGCACAGTGGGAGCTGGGATTCCAGCACAGGAAGACCCCTGAATCCATGACCTTCAACACTTCACCACCTTCCCAACAAGAGCACAGGGCAGGAAGGGGCGTGTAGGTCCCTCACACCAGCATCGTCCATACATCCTTCTGCTAAACATGGCATTGCTCAAGGGGGAGGCAGCGGCTCCTCAGGAAAAACAGCAAAAAAGAAAGAAAGAAAGAAAAAAAAATCCACGGCCAAAGAGGTTTGGGGAAAACTGAGTTAAATAAGGCTAAGCAATGTTAAAGTCTCTTTAATTGGAGTATCGAAGTGCTAATGACATTGTATATTTTATTTATTTATTTATTTCTAGAGAGAGGGGAAGAGAGGGAGAAAGAGAGGGAAAGAATCATCTATGTGAAAGAGAAACATCAACTGGTTGCTTCTTGCACATGCCCCAAATCCAGGGCACAAACTCCAGAGACCTCAGGACCCTGGTCTGGAGGCAGGAAAACCCAGGAACAGAGTCCTGGCCCTTTCCTGCCTGTTTTCCTGCCTCTGTTCCAGTTGCCCAAGTGCCCTGGGTACAATCACCCAGAACGTGGCACTCGAAGGGCAGGAGGTATTTTTAGCCAGTGACAGGGGAGTCTGCTTTTCTTGGCGCCTGAGTCATGCCCTGAACACTATTTGGGGACTGTTTTCTTGGTAAACAGACCCCCAAGAGGGGCAGGGAGCTGAAGGAGCTGGCCCTGCACCCCCCACCCACCTGTCTGTCATTGTAGGTCCCAGAGTATAGACGGTACTCGACCAGGAAACCCCAGTCTCCTCACCGACCCCAGGCAGCTGGAGGATCGGGTTTTCCTGCGGAGGTTAGAGAGAGTCGTTTCCACTCTCCACCAAAGGAAGCTCCTCCGTGCCCAGGCCCACCTTCCGTGAGCTGGCGGAGGCCCGGGGACTGACCGGCCGGGGATTCCCAGTGCTCAGGCTTTCCACTCCACCTCTGCGATGTAGCTTCCTCTGTACCATCTGCGTTCCGCTTTCCCGAATGTCTTCCTCTGAATTAACTTATTTTTCAATTCAATAAGTGCTTCTTTTTATGTTCTATCACTATTAGAGATATACTAAATCTCTAATAGAGGCATTATTAAATTCTGTCTGTGTGCCCCTGCCTGCTCCGGGCTCTGCACCCAAGGCCAGCTCTCCCAACCGTGCTGCAGAATGCTCGTATGGAATCATACCATGCCACAGATTAATCAGAAAAAAGGCAAAAATCACCAAAAAGGTATTATGTGACCTAACACTCATTAAAGCCCAAGCCACAGCCTGCAGAGGGAGGGTAGGTGAAGACCACCCAGCATCGAGGCCGAAGGGCCCGCAGGGCACCTCTGAGGAAGAGAGTTCTGCCCCTCCCTCACTCGCCAGGGGAGTGAGTGCGCCAGTCACATGTCCAAGTAGGAAGGGTCCAGGACTGAACCCCAGGCCTCCAGACTCTGGGCCCCGCTGTCTGAGGATGGGCCGTCACCTCGTGCAGGAAGGGGCATGACCAGGCCTGCTTGTCTTCTCTCCCCAGAGATGGAGCACAAGGAAGGGAAGCCCTCTGAGGATGGGAACACCGTCTCCCCAGATGCAGGGACCCCGGGGACGCCGGTGGGTGAAGCCTCGGCAGACATGGGGGCCAAAGTCACGGAGGAGAGCATCGTCACAGAGGGGCCTCCATCTGCGTCAGGAAGGCAGGGAGGAGCCGCAGCGGAGGATGGCATTTCAGCAGAACTCCAGGAGGAAGCCAGTGGGTCGGATGAGGTCAAGGTGGAGTCCAAAGTGGAGGCTGAACTTCCAAAGGAGGGCGGTGGGAAGGAAGAGACCAAAGAGGCTCCTCAGGAGACGACTGATGGGAAAGAAGAGACCAAATCTGAACACAAGGAGGCAAAGGGAAAAGAGAAGCAGAGGGCCGAGGAGAAAGCAGCCAAGCCCGAATCCGGGGAGAAAGCCGACAGGGAGGACGAGGCCAAGGCTGAGCTGAAGCAGGCTGGTGGGGCCCAGGAGCCCACAAGGGCCACTCAGGAGGAGAACCAGCCAGAGGAGCCTGAGGCTGAAGCTCAGGCAAAAGCCAGCGCCCCAGAGGCCAAGTCGGACTCTGAGGAGAAGGCTGCACCACAGGAGAGAGACAGGAAGGAGGAGGCGGTGAGTGAGGCGGAGGAGAGGAGGGAGGAGGCCCCATCAGTGCTCTGGAGTCCCCTGCCCCTGGGGAGGCAAGGCCCCTCTGCTCTATCTCCTGGGAAAAGTCCAGTCTTCCTCCCACAGATATCCAGAGCCGGGGTGGGTGCTGCCACACTCCCCATCCCAGGCTGAGTCCTCCCAAAGCCTTGGGCAGGCGCTTGTGTGACTGTGAGCTCGGATCGTGTCGGTTCCAGGACTCGGGTGGTCCCAGGGAAGAGCAGGACCAGGGTATGGACAGAGAGTTGGAGGAAGGGGCAGAGGTGACCCCCAGCTCCCCCGAGGAGTGGCCCGAGAGCCCCACGGAGGAGGGTCAAGGCCTCAGCCCAGGTGAGTGAGAGCCAGGAGCCCAGGGGCTGCTGCAGGGGCTCCCCTGAGGGGCGTGCAGTCACAGCAGCCCCCCCACTTCTCTCCTCCTGCTCCTTTCCTACAGATGGGTTGGGCCCAGACACCACAACTTCGGGAGAGACCAGCCCCTCAGCCAGGTAATGTCCAACCCTGGGGCCCTGGCTCCACCTCCCCTAACACCTGCCCCCTTCAAAGCCTACCCTCACCTGATCTCAAGAATCCCAGGATTCCTGGCATTCGGCCCCTTCCCAAGGCAGAGCCCAGGAAACTGAAAGAGCCAGATCCTGGGCCAAGGGAGCGTGCAGCACACCTGGTCCCCCTCCCTCCCTCCATCACTGGCCTCCAGGCCTCCCCGACAGGTCTTACAGAGGCCCTCCTCTTCCCACTCCGCATGTTTCCATGGTGCCAACACCGTCCATAGAGCAGAAAGCCTGAGTTTAGACAATGACTCTCTTACCAGCTGTGTGAACTTGGCCATGTCACTGCGCCGCCCCCCCTTCTGTGAAGCGGATACTGTAACCGTGACTCCCTCGTAGAATTATGGTGAGGCTGGGGTGTGCTGTGTGTAAGGCACTTAGCACAGTGCCTGGTCGCACAGCAAATGAGAGGCAAAGCCAGGATTCACACTCAGGTCAGACCTCAGACTTGCCGTAGTTCTATCCTCACATCCCTCCAGACCCCTGGCTCCCCAAGTTAGACTGAGCCTCATTATTCCTTCCAGCCCCTCCCAGTGCAGGCACAGGGGACACGCCTGCTGAGAGCGGGCGCCCTGACTGTGCACGCCTTCCGACTGCAGGGGCCCCACCCCCCGCCAGCCCCAGCCACCCTGAACCCTGTACTGGCTGGTCCCAGGCCCTCACTGGTCTCTGAACCTTTCCATGTAGTGAGTCTTCACCCAGTGAGGTGCCCTCGAGTCCCACGGAGCCCCCTCCCTCACAGGAGAAGAAGAAGGAGAAGGCACCGGAACGCAGGGTGTCAGCCCCTGCCCGGCCCCGGGGGGTCCACGCGCAGAACCGCAAAGCCATCGTGGACAAGTTTGGCGGGTAGGATGCAGGCACCAAGCCGGCTGGGCTGGGCTTTCCCAGGGAACACGGGTCTGCGGGACGGAGGCCTGAGAGGGTGGGATCGGCCCAGGCCTAGGTGGGAGCGCCGACAGACAAAGGGGCTGGGGCTCCTCCCCAGTGGGACCCTCAGTGGCCTCCCACCTCTCTGGCCTGGCTTTCTCCTCCCCTCCCTTCACAGGGCAGCCTCGGGCCCCACAGCTCTGTTCCGGAACACTAAGGCTGCCGGGGCTGCCATCGGCAGTGTCAAGAACATGCTCTTGGAGTGGTGCCGGGCCATGACGAGAAACTACGAGGTGGGCAGGGGACAGGGACCCTTCCCAGGGCAGCAGTGCGGGGGAGGGTCTGAGTGGTGCAAAACTCAGAGGGTGGGAGGCTCAGGGGGCCAAGTCCAGGCCCCACGGCCAGAGGCTCACTGAGGCCGCCCCCTCCCCCAATGGCCCGCAGCATGTGGACATTCAGAATTTCTCGTCAAGCTGGAGCAGCGGCATGGCCTTCTGCGCCCTCATCCACAAGTTCTTCCCAGACGCCTTTGACTACGCTGAGCTGGACCCCACGAAGCGCCGGCACAACTTCACCTTGGCCTTCTCCACTGCAGAGTAAGCCCCAGCCCGGACAGCAGAGTCACAGGGGCCCGGGGCGCAGGTCCCAAAGGTGAAGGCCGCCCCCACAGGGGTCGCAGAACGTGTGGCCACATGTTGGTGTAGCCAACAGACAGATTGTGATGGCCAGAAACGATTTCAGGACAAACCAGTGGGTGAATCAGCAAAAGCCCTGCGTGTGCTTGGCTTACACTCCAGAGGGAGAGAGATCGTCAACACGCACCTATACCAAATATTGAGCCAGGGGGTTGGGTGCCATAAAGATGATGCTGATACCTGCAGGGTGAGGGACAGAGGGGAGGAGGGTCAGTCTGCTGCTTTGGATGGGGTGGCACAGAGATTTGGGGTCAGATTCTTACTCAGCCACTTGTTTGGCTGTGTGATCTTGGGCAGGCTTCTCTGCCTGCCTGAGCCTCCATGTTCCAATCTTTAAACGGGGCATGAGGTTTCCTCTTCTACAGGCTGTTGTGAGAATTAAGTAAATAACTAAGTAAGGCCCCTATAAGAGTGCCTAACCTGCAGAAAAAAACTTCAAAAGAGTCTTAGCTGCTGCGCCTTTATTTTGATGAACGATATCACAACTGTTCATAATTATTCACTTTGGAACCTGAGGGTTTTATTGCTGAGACGCACACAGCTCCGTGGCAGTGTAATGGAAAAGTGTATGGTACTAGAAGGGCAGGAAGGGTGTGAGGAACAGTGTGGCCCAAGAAGAACCTGAGAGGCAAGGACATGACTGCTGTGTGGGGGAGGGGGAGGCCCTGCCTCCACAGAAGCAGGAAAGCCAGCCTCAGCCAGACTCCCCCGTCGATACCCACCAACCCTGAATCCCTTCTGGCCTCGGGGCTCCTGAAGAGCTCGTGCCAGGAGTGCCTGTTCTCTCTGGCCCCAGGGAGAGGCTCCCGGGCCACCTGGTGGAGAAAGAGATGTGTCGAGGGTGCGGCCGTGAGGGCAACTCTGGGGGCGTTTCTAGAGCCCTGGTCAGAGAAGTCACTGGGGGTGTTAGCAGCACTTGGCCTGGGAGGCTGAGCCCTCTGGTCCTGTCCAGGCCTGGCCACCAACTTGTCGGGAAGCCTGGGACAACCTTCCCCTCTCTGGGCCTGTGTGTTCCCATTGGCAAAACGAGAGAACTGGGTATTGATCTGTGCTTTTCAAATGGGCGGGTTTTTCCCGCTGTGGCAGATTCCTAAAACAAAATGTTGAGTGCCCAACATAGAAAACAGATTAAAGGGGGATCTTTTTAGATTGGGGGGGTTCCTGGAGCTTAGCACCCAACCACTCTTCCCAAGAAGGTCCCTGCGGCACATCTGCCGGGCCCCAGGGCACCAAGAGTGACATTGGAGAACCACCAGATGACGTTCCGGAAGATCCCTTCCAGTTTCGCATTAGCCTGCCAAGGGAAGGGATGAGTGCCCTGGAGGGGGCGCTCCGGAGCACCTCTGGGGACGATGACGAGCCACAGGAACTGAGGGTGGTTACCATTCTGCCCAGTGCTTTCCTTGGCTTATCCCATTTAACCCTTGCAGCAACCCCAGAGTGTGGACACAGGTAGAGATGGTCCTTGACACCTGAGGGTCGCACAGGAGGGCTGTGGCAGAACTGGGACCTGAAAGTGAGCCCCTAGTCAGGACTGGGAGCTCCGAGCGAACATCAGAAGGGCATGCCGCTCTGTCCCCGGCCCGTGGGGCATGGGCCAGTGTCCTCCTCTAAGCCAGGCTGAGCCACAGGAAAGCAGGAGGACTAATCAATGATGACGATGATGATGACGGGCTGACAGGAAGCATCAGGCAGCAGTGAAAAACAGGGGACTCGGTGGGGACCATGGGGGTGGAGGATGGAGGGTGGAGAACAGAAGTTGAGGTGCTGAATTCGAATGCTGCCTCCTTCCTCCTTAGCTCTGTGACCTTCAACAGCTGACTTAGCCACCCTGATGGGTTAGGGCGAAGATTCAGTGTGCCGAGTAAGGTTATCAGTTCACTCTAGAACTCTCCTCTGACTCCAGTGGAGTCCTGGGATGGCAGAGGGGAGCTGCCCGTGCTGGCGCCCCAGTGGACTAGATCCCCAGTGGGTCTAGAGGAGCCTGGCCCCTTCTCCTGTGTAGGCTCGCAGGACCCACACCCAGAACTGAGGTCACTGCGCCGGAGCCTGTCCCATTCTTCAAAATCCTCCAGTCTGCGCTCCTCCCCCAGCACCCAGGCCAATCTGAGTTGGGTTTCAGGCCAGTTGTCTCAGCCCCAAGAGAGGATTTCCACTGGGACCCTGGTTTCTCCTCCTGCCAGCACCTGCGTCAGTTTGGCAGGCTGGGGCTGCTGAGGCCTGGCTGCAGGACAAAGATGCCAGAGGCACCTGGCCAGCCTGGGGTTGAGTCCCAGCTATGTCACTCACTTACTTTGACCTTGGGCAAGTCACCAAAATGCTCTGAGCCTCCAGTTCCTCTTCTGCTGGTTGAGGATGGGGGTGGGAGTGTTGTAAATGAGACCATTTAAAGGGAAACACTCAATAAAGCACTTGGCACCCAGTGGCAAGTCCCCGACAGTGGGTAGCTTGGATTATCAGCGTTAGCAAAGCCAGGAGTGGCACACTGCCCTGCAGAGCAGCTGAGAAGCTAGAAAAAGAGGACCTACAGCTGACCTCCATGCTGCTCCCCAAACACATCAAACGTGCCAGCCTCGGGGCCTTTGCAGGCATTATTTCTGCTGCCTGGAATCCTCTTCCCCAGACATGTGCACAGTTCACTCTCTGGGAGACCTCCTTCCTGGAGCACCGTCTTTAAAATGCTGCTAACACAGGAACGTACCCTGCCTCCCTCCTCTGCCTTATTTTCCTCCATCGTGCCTCTCACCACCTGACCGTCTCTTTCATTACTGTCTGTCTGCTGCCACGAGAATGTCAGTGACATGAGAGCAGGGAAGCCTGGGTTCCTTCCGTAAATACACAGAGGCCTAATGAAAATGGAGATGGTGCAGCCATAAGCCAACACTCTGGCTAGGATGGCAGTTCTGTCCTTTCAACTCTTGCTGAGGGGCCTGGCCTTCCAAAGGACAGATACAAGAGGAGCTCGTGGGAGGGGTGGGTTAAGGTGGAGCTAGAGAGAGACCAAAGGGGCCCGCTCCACATGAGTCCACAATGCAATGAAAACGTGGGCTTTGGAATCAGCCAAGGGTGAGTTCTGACTCTGTCAGAGCCTCAGTTTCCTTGTCTGTGCAATGGGATAGTTGACCTAGATGACCTCCCGTCTCCAACACACACAGTTTGTCCTGGCAGGGCTGCCCCCACCCCCTCCCCCAGCGCCCATGTTCTTCACCTCCGCTCAGCTCCTCACCCCGCCCCACCTCTGCCTCTCAGGAAACTGGCCGACTGTGCGCAGTTGCTGGAGGTGGAGGACATGGTGCGGCTGGCAGTGCCCGACTCCAAGTGCGTCTACACCTACATCCAAGAGCTGTATCGCAGCCTCGTGCAGAAGGGATTGGTGAAGACCAAGAAGAAATGAGGAGCTGACTGGCCCCGCGGGCAGAGGTGGCCAGGGTGCCCAACTGACCAGCCACGGCCCTGAAGCTCCCTTCTATACCAGAGACAAGAGAGCCGGGCCCTGGGCAGAGGCAGATGGCATCAGTCTTAACTGCATTGAAAGTATTTCTGCAAAATCCTGTCTGGCGACTTCCCTCGCCCACCCAGGAACCTCTTACTCTGGGATAATAAACCATAGCCGCCAGGATTCCTCACCTGGCATTTCCTCACCTGACACAATCTTTTCTACAGCATGAAAGGCATCTGGGAAGAACAATGGCCTGGCTCCCACCACTAACCAGCTGTGTGACCTTAGGCCAGTGAGTTCACCTCTCTGAACCTATTTACCATCTGATTGTGATAAAAGGAGTTCAGACCTCATGGAGATGCTGTGAGCGTTAAATGAACTAATAAAATGAGCAAAAAGTCTTGCCTGGTACCTGTTGCATACGTGTTCAATAAGCAGTGGCCAAAAGTAAAGACAAATCTTACATTTTGAGCTATTGGTGGCATTTTTCTCAATTCTATTCCCTCTTTCCACACTCGTCCCAAGTTAGAGATCGCGGGGCAGGGGCTGGAGTAGAACATGCTTTAGAAATCTCACCCGAACTTGACTCCAAGATACCCCCCATTTCTGACTCTTAAAAGCAAGTGGGCTCTGACCAGTGTGGCTCAGATGGTTGGGTGTCACCCACAAAGCGGAAGGTCACCTGGTTAGGTTCAATTCCCAGTCAGGGCACATGCCTGGGTTGCAGGTTCAGTCTCTGGTCGGGGCGTATACAAAAGGCCACCAATCGATGCTTCTCTCACCCACATTTCTCTCCCTCTTTCTCCCCGCTTCTCCTCTCTAAATAAATACATAAGTGAATAAATAAATGCAGGTGGTCTCCCAGTGGCTCAGAACCATTGCCCCCAGAAAGCTCTTCCTTCAGGTGGAGTTAATCCTTCCAACTCCAAAGGAAGGTGTGGCTTGTTTTTGTTCTCTCATTGCCCAATACTGAGCTGATTATAAGGTCCTGCTAATAATCCTGTCTGGCTTTATCAGCCATTCGGAGAATGTTGTGCTGATAAGAACAGCCCAGGAAAAACACAAAAACAAAAACCAGCAGGCATGGTGCTGAGGCAGGAGGTGACCTGGTGGTCCACTGCTGGCCCGGTACCTCCAGTGCCTCATCTGTAAAATGGGGACATTACCCCTGGGTGGATGTTGACTGCCCCTCTGGCCAGGATGGCCTAGTCCCTCGTGGCCCCACAAGAGCTGGGGTTACCCGAGGCTGGAGGCCGTCAGTTCACGAGAAGCTGGGTCATCTCCGATGAAACCACTCCCCTCTCCCCCTACCCCCACCCTGTCCACGAACACTGAGCCAGACTTCGCAGCTTGTCTGTGGCTTTAATGGCTGGACTAACATGTGATTTCTGTGAGCCCCCTGGACTGGAAGCTGGAGGTGCCACTGCGTCCCCCCTGAGGCCCGGCCCCCAGGGAGGGGCAACCTAATGAGATTCCAAGTGGCTTGGAAAACCAAGTAGTCAGACTTCCAGCACGGAGATCAGATTCTTCGCTTAGTGATGATCAGTGGAAAAGGTTTAACAGCAGCCTGGCTGATTTCAATCATGTAATCAACAATCACCCAATTGCAAATGACTCCCGCCATGGGCCCTGCCTCCCAGCCCTGCCCCCCCCCACTCCCCTCAGGCCCCCAGGGGTATTGGCTGCTGGGCTGATTTCCTGTGAGCTGGCCTGGAAGGTGAGCTCAAGATAGAGCAACTAGTAAGACCAGGATCCCCACGTCAGAGAACACTGGAGAGCTGGCCTGTGATTCTGCAAACCTAAAGAGCCCAGCTCTGGGGCAGAGACAGGGAGTGGGAAAGCACACCTGTGGCCAGGTGAAACTAGAACTGGGTCGGCACATACCACACACGACTAATGAGTAACAACCTAAGGAGAAAAAAAGCCCTTAAAAACAGCAGGGAATGGGCCACCAAGGGGCTCTGTCCCCAGGCCATGTGGTGTGTCCATCCATCATGCCCACAGTGGGGCAGACCAGAGCTAGGAGGGCCGATGCTCTCCAAACTCGAGGGTGTGCTCTTCGGCCCTCCTGTAGAACAGCTCCGGGGTCTGCTTCAGCTGTTGAGCAAGCTCCAGGCGCATGGGCTCGTTCAGGTCCAGGCGGTTCACCAGCAAGTTGAGGTCTTCCAGGACTGGGGAGAGAGGCCAGGTCAGGACATCAGGATGGAGAGAAAAATTCTGGGAAGAAGCTGATGACTGCCCAGCCCCAGATCCCCCTGAAACTCTATGCGCACTGCTTGGGGGACCCCCAAGGAGGTTCCATCTCTCAGGATGACTACAACCAAGTCAAATGCCTCTCACTGTCCTGGCTGAAGATGCCAAAAGCCCTGACTGGCTCTACCAGTGGCTTTCAAACTGTGTTCCCTGGTGGGGTGTCTTGGTCCCACTCCCTTTTCAATAGGAACCCCTCGCTTTCCTGCTTGATATTAAGATTCCAAATAAACTTAATTTGGGCAAAAGGGTTCTGAGGCTAAAGACTGGAAACCGCTACTGGCCCATGGCTCCCAATCTTTCACAGACGCCTTTGGGAACCTGGTGTGGACAAGGCGGCTCCCCAGGCACGTGCACAGGCACACAGTTCTGAGATGGGAGCCTCACAGACCCTGTGAGGTCTGACCTTGAAGGCCATCCAAGGAGCACCTCCCACCCTGACCCCCAGCCCAGGGTCCTTGTTGCCGCGGCTAAGGACTCCTGAGCTGGTGCAGAGGTACACCAACTGAAGCCACCAGCCACAGACAGTTACCTAAATTTAAATTAATTAAAATTAACTACAATTAGGAACTCAGTTCCTTGGTCGAATTGTCCACATTTTAAGTGTTCAAAAGCCACGTGTGGCTAAGCACTGAAAGTCCCTGATGGGAGAGGACAGTGCAGCCACACAACACCACAGCCAGGGGTCCTGCTGGCTAGCACCACGCTCGCCCATCAGCCAAGCCTGCTCTGCATCCCGTGCTGCCCCCCACCAGCTACAGGGAAAGTAGGAAGTGCTTCACCCCTCTGTGCTCAGCTACTGAGTGGGGCGAATGGGAGCACCATCTGGTGGGGTTGCTCGGGGTACTAAATGAAGTCAGGGGGGGTGAAGGCATAAGGGCTTAATTAAGTGAAATGGATTCTCATCACTGGGCAATCCCCTGAACGGCCATTTAGGGCGCAGAGCCCTGAGAAGGAGCGGAGTCGTCGCCAAGGCCCACACACGCAGCAGTGGCCTTCCTTTCGAAGCCCTGCCCCCAGTGGCCCCACTGCTTCTCTCTCCCAACCCACGTGCTGACACACCTGCCCAGGTGTGAGACCAGAGGCGGGAGCAGGGGTCTCAGGGTACATCCCTCCTATCTGATGCCCCCACTCCTCTGAGACCCATACATTTAACCTCCTCTCTCTCAAACTTTTCTATCTCCAGTCCCGTAACCCCTCCCGCATGATAAGGCCTCGTGACAGGCACGGCCCCGCCCACCTCGGGAGGCCTTCGTTCGGGGATTCCAGTGCTGGTTGCTGATGATGGGCAGGCACACCCGACCTTCAAGGTCCACGTTGGGGTGGTAGATTGGGGTTGTGAATATCACTGTGGGCGGCCTTAACGGATATTCCCTGGGGAAATTGATGCGCAGGTTGAAGGCCTTGAGGTTGTAGGGTGGCAACTCCTGCACAAGAAAAAAGGTGAAGATGTTCTGTTCCGAGGCAGGGCTGCCCAGGAGGATGTTTTTCTCCCGGAGACTTGGTCAGGTTTCCCCCTTTCCTGCTCCAACCCCAGGGTCCCAGGCCTCCCCTACTCCATGCCTGCATTCAGGGATTAGTGGGAGACTGGAATCAGAAAAGAACTAGGCGGGGGAGGAGTCCCAAAAGTCTAATCCTGACTTTTGCTGTGTAACCCAGGCCAGGGCCTCTCACCTCTAGGCCTCAGTTTCCTCATTTGAAAAATGGGTAAAATTTGAGTAGATGAGCTCCAATGACCACCTCAGCTTTTTTTTTATTGGTAATTAACTTTTCCCCAGTTTTATTGAGAAATAATTGAATCACTGTATAAGTTTAAGGCACACGGCATATGGTTTGATTTACATATATTGTGAAATAATTACCATAACAGGTTCAGCTAACACATGTTGTAGACCACTCTGCCTGGTTCTAGGAATTGTATCTCAACCCCTTGTGGCTTAGGGCAAGGGACGACCTTTGGCGTGCCAGCCACAGAAGACAAAGCTTGTCTCTGGTAGCAAACGCTGCCTCAGTTTCCTCTCCCTACCCCCAAAACTTGGTTGGAAGTCAATGACAGGTAAGACCCCTCACAGCGGGGGACAACCTAAGCCAGATTTGATCACTTGGGAGGCCTTCATGGAAGGACTGGGGGGGGGGGGAGCTGCAACAAAGAAAGAGCAATAGACTCTCCCGCCCCGCTCCCTGCTTTAACATAGCCCCCATGTTGTCTGGAAGAAGTGCTTCCTGGCTCTAATCCCCTTAACTAAGCCTGAATACCTGTTGGGGAGAGGTGCAGCTCCTTGCCTTGCTAGAGTGTGTCCTGGGGAAAAATCTGGCGTCACAAAGACTGCCTGATAAACCTGTGAAATCTGCTCTGCTTTCATTCATATGTTAAGGGTTCAAGTGAGAAATCCTAAAACTCTGTTCCTGACAGACTCTGACTCATAGTAAGCCCTCAGATTTCTTTGAAATGTTATCTACTGTTTGATCCTTGCCACCCTGTATTCCTGTGTATTAGAACCCAATAAAGGCCCTGGAGAAGGGGGCTCAGGGCCTTTTTCTCCTCGGAGAAACTGGCCACTGCTCACTTCTCCTCCCCAAGCAGATCACGTCCTGTCTCGGTCATATTTACTCTCATCCGTGGCAACTGGGGGGACTTGCGAGGAAAGTCGCCCCCACAAACACACATCTTCTCATATAGATACAATAAAAAGAAAAGAAGAAAAAAGAAAAAGTGTGTTCTCCTTGCGATGAGAACTGTACTCCCGTAATGACTCTCTGTACCTCACACAGCAGTGTTGACTCCAGACATTATGTCATGCGTTGCGTCCCTAGGACTTACTTCCATCTTATACCTGGACATTTGTATGTTTTGACCGTTCATTCCCCCCTCCCTCCGCCTTCTGCCTCTGGTAACCCAAGTCTGACCGCTTCTCCTGGGAGTCTGGGGTCTTTTGTTCTTTGTTTTCAGACTCCTCGTGTAACTGAGATCATACACTATTGGTCTTTACCCGTCTGCCTTCAAGGCCCATCCATGGAGGAGGAGAAGGACATGTGTCAGGACTCCCTCTGTTAGCAAGCACAGGAGAACACCATCATTGGGGCAAGGAAACAGGGAGAGTGAGGGGACCATAAGAATTCAGGGCGCTGGGGATGTAAACCAGGGAAGCCACTGTAGGAAACTGTACGGAGATTCCTCAAACAATTAAGCAGAACTGCCACATGACCTCGCAACTCCATCTCCGGGCATACACTCAGAATTGAAAGCAGGGACTCAAACAGGTATTATTCACACACCCACGAGCCCAGCAGCACGATTCACAGCAGCAAGCAGTTGAAACAACCCACCCATCTGTGAATGAACACACAAGCAATGCAGGGCATGGGTACACAATGGGATGTTATTCAGCTTTAAAAAAGAAGGAAATTCTAGCCCTGGCTGGTGTGGCTCAGTGGATTGAGCACTGGCCTGTGAACCAAAGGGTCACCAGTTTGATTACCAGTCAGGGTACATGCCTGGGGTGTGGGCCAGGCCCCCGGTAGGGGGTGCTTAAGAGGCAACCACACATTGATGTTTCTCTCCCTCTCTTTCTTCCTCTCATCTCCTCTGTAAAAATAAATAAAATCTTAAAAAATATATAAAAAGGAAAGAAAATCTGACAAGGCCACAGCATGGACGAACCCTGAAGACATTATGCTGAGTGAAATAAGCTGGACCCCCCCACAAAACCACATTTTGAATGATCCCACTTTTGTGAGGTACCTAGAATAGTCAAATGCGTAGACAGGAACTGGAAAACTAGTTACCAGGGACGAGAGGGAGGAAGGAATGGGGAGGAAGGAATGAGGAATGGGGAATCTCACGGGTGCAGAGTTTTGGGAAGATGAGAGAGTTCAGGAGGTGGACGGGGTGATGGCTACACACGAATGTGATGCACTTAGTGCCACTGAACCAAACATATAAAAACGGTTAAGATGGTAAATGCTGTTATGGGTATTTACCATGATTTAAAACATTAAGAAATGCTTTAAATCATGCAGGGTCTGAGGGACCAAGGGCTGGAGGCTGCTAGGCCCCAGCAGGAAACCCTCCAGAGTCTAAGCAAACTAAAGGCTTGCCTGAGCACCTACTCTGTGCTGCCCTGTGTGGAGGGCATGACACGCATTAGCCCGTGCAGCAGAGTGCAGGGGTCACATGGGCTCTGGAGCCATGTGGCCTGGGTGTGAATCTTGGCTCTGCTACTCACAGGCTGTGTGACCTTAGGTAAGTAACTTAACCTCTCTGTGCTTCCATATGGGAATACTACTACTTCTTCATAGGGCTTATGTGAAGATTAAATGAGTTAATTCATGCTGAGGGCTTAGGGCAGGGCCTGGCACACAGCAAGCACTACATATGTGTTAGCTATCAGGATAAGTATTATGCAAACTCCTGACCGTCAGCACCTCCATTTCCAGGTGAGGAAGCTCCAGTTCAGTAGAGGTAAGTAACCTGCCCAGGGCCACACTGGCAGTGCCGGGACGGGAACCCAGCACTGTTGACTCTGCATCTCCACACACGGACACCACTCTACACCCCAAGACAGAGGAACCCCAGAGCTTGGATGACCCCAGCACGGAGCTGGTGCCCCGTTCCAGGCTGGTGCCAAGCTCCAGACCTTTTCAGGACCTTAGTGAGAGAGGAGACAGGGCAGAGACTGCCAGAACAGCATACATTCTTAAGTAGAGTCGAGGCTTTAAGAGAGCTCCTCCTCCTTAGCAGAAGGTGAAACCGAAGCCATAGCGGCTGTCTTGGGTGTGTCTGAAGTCAGCGGCAGGGGTGACTACTGGGCAGATGGAATGTGTCAGCTTTTGTGTTCTTGATAACAAGATGGGGCTGGGACCTGGCAGGCACCAACAAGGCCAAGGGTGAGGCCTCATGGAAGGAGGACTGTGGCATCCTCTCTGTGAACTTCAAAATCTGAACAACACTACTCCAATATAATTAATGGGCATCTTTGTGTCCATTATCCCTGACCCCTTCAGGATATCGGATGAAATGTGCTTTAATCTGACAGCCTCTTGCGTATAAGATGTCAGCTTCACTGACGGTCTCGCTGTAACAAACCCCTGCAGAACACTTGGAGGTCCACGTAAATTGGGAAACTACCCACCGCCAATCAAGGGAAACAGGAAGTTCACCCCTATCCCTTAAGAAAGGTCCAAGAATTCTTTTTTTTTAGATTTTATTTATGTATGTTTAGAGAGAGGGGAAGAGAGGAAGAAAGAGAGGAAGAGAAACATCAGCCTGAGAGAGAAACATTGATCTTCCTCCTCTTGTACGCACCCCGACCGGGGACTGACCCCGAAACCCAGGCATGTGCCCTGACCAGGAACCAAACTGGTGACCTTTCATTTTGTGGTATGTGTCTGACCAAGAGAACCACACTGGTCAGGGCTTCTTTTTTTTTTTTAAGAATAAAATCTCACCATTTACAATAGCATGGACGAGCTAGAAGGCATTATGCTAAGTGAAATAAGTCAGACAAAGACAAATACCATACGATTTCACTTATAAGTGGAATCTAATAAACAAAACAAACAAACAAAATTGAAACACACTCACAGATCCAGAGAACAGATGGATGGTTGCCAAGGAGCAGGGGGTTGAGGGGCTGGGTGAGAATGGTGAAGGGATCGAGGAGCGCAAGTGGGCAATTACTGAAGAGTCACGGGAGGGAAGGTGCAGCGTAGGAAACACAGTCAGTGACGTTGTAGTGACTGTGGGTGGGGCCAGGTGGGCGCTGGGAATACCCCGGGGGGAGCCCTTTGTAAAGCCTGTGATCTTCTCATCTAACCACCATGCCGTACACCTAAAACTAATACAAAGTAATACTGTGTGTAAACTGTTTTTGAAAAATATAGTTAATAAATACATACATTTTAAAAACAAATAAATTTAGCTACAAAAAAAGAGATTTTTTGGGGGGGATGCTGTTTCTTTGCTGAAATTTCTGTGGTGAGCTTGATGGCTCCTGGTTTAAGGAAGGGGTCTCCTCCTAAGTCCAAAATTCTTTTAGCTTCTTCTGCCTCAAACTGGAACACAATCAATCCAGAGAAAGACCCCCTCTACCAAATGTGAAAGGCAGTAAAAAAAAGGACTCTAAGGCAGAAAAAATTCTTGCCCAGTCCTACCCATCCCCACCCAGGACCCTGGCCTACGTCACCCATCCCAGGGACACTCACGGGCAGGAGAAGTGCATGCCACACCAGGACGTCGGTGTCTTCACTGAACAGGTTCCTCAGGAAGCAGGGAAGATCCTTCTGAAGGTCCTCCAGCTCCTGAGGGACAGAGCGAGGGGCAGTGGGCCTAGGCTCCCCTACTCCGGCTGCCTCCCCCACCCCAGCACAGCTGCCCTGAGTCCCAAAGGTGGAGCCCCCATTTACTGAGCACTCAGCATGCATCAGGCCTGGTGCTTGGTGCTTTAAGTGACTTATCGGGTATGAGCCTCACGCACCAATGTCGGTGGCTAGATGGAGGGATGATGAAGGTCACTGCCTCCAGGTGCTACAACTTGGGAGTCAGCTCTCTTAGGAGTCCTTTGTCCTGAAAGCATTCTCCAGTTCTTTTCCTAGAGAGTCACAAGGCTCCAACACCCTGCCCCCCTCCCTCCATCGCATCCACTGAGGGTCCAGCAGGACGGTGTGTCCCCACCGGGCTCATGGCAACAGAGACATCACCCTGTGCCTGTCAGATCCCTCCACCCCAGGGCGAGGGAAGGGAGAAGGCTCAGACAGACCGCAGCAAAGCAGAAGTCTCACAACCATCAGAGAAACCAGGGGACAGGAGGGACTCGCCTTCCTAGAAAAGTGGCCCAGTCACCTGGACATCACTGAGTTCTCCCAGCAGCCCTCTCCAGAGCACCCTCTATTATTAACACCTGACCAAGACAGGGCCCAATCCTCAAGAACGTCATTGAAGCAATGGAGGAACTAAGGGTGTGACTATGTGGCCAATGTGCGCAGACACAGTGGGGAAGGAGAAGAGGGGACACCTTCACGGAAGGTGACATTGAGCCGGGCCATGCAGAATAAAAGGAACCCTTCCCTTCAGAGAAGGGAGAGGCCCCAAGGCAGAGGGCCCCATCAGAGCAAATGTGTACGTGTGTCTCAGGCAAGGTCAGTGGTGACCTACAGGAAAAGGGTCCCATGGTCGAATGCACTGGGAAACACTAGGCTAAACAGACTTCTCTACGGCAGGACTCCCAAGTCTTTAATATGCTGCTGTGGGCCCTGAATCTCCAGGATGGGAGCCCACAGCATGCAGTACTTCTCAAAATGCATTTTGATCACGGAACCCTCTCCCTTTCAGGGGCCATCCTGTGGGACAACAGACATTTTTTGGTGGGAGACAATTTAAAGATTCAAAGACATTCAAGGGCAGGTCATATCCTCTAGAATGGGTATAACCTCTGGTTCTACACTAAGGGCATCTTTAGCCATCCTCCCCTCCCCACAGAGGACACGTGGCAAGGTCTACATCCAATTTTGGTTGTCATGAATGGGGATGCTACTGGCATTTAGCGGGGAGAGGCCAGGGATGCTCATGAACATCCTACAAAAAATGATCTGGCCCCAAATGTCAGCGGTGACAAGGTTGAGACACCCTAGTGTAAACAAAGGCAGAGAGAAAGCTACCCAAAGCCCATCCACAGTTGGAGAGGGGTCCCTTAACACTGTGGACTACCTGAACTTTACCTGCCCCCCAATGTATAAGCACACCCCTGTTCCCCATTCAGCACATACTCTATCTCTATTCATGCCAACAAACTGCTTCTGCCCAGAGTCTATGATCCTCACTTACCTTTTACCTCACTTATCTGGGAAGCACCTGCTACTCCAAGTTCTAGTTCCAACATTACCTGTGACTCTGGCAGCAGTGAAGGCCAGGGATGAATGGAGAAGCTGTGGCATGGACATTTCCTGACTTACTAACACTGGGCACACTTGGACTTTATCTGCTATAGATGAGTTCTGCCAAAACTTTCCCCAGGCCCGAGACTGTGGAAATCCAAACAAAGACACACAGCTCTTTTGTAAGGCCTGTTGGGGAATCACCTGCTCAGAGGAACAGAAAATGAAAGTCGAGAGACCACTGAAGGAACCTGCAGGTGGGAACCCCAGCCCCCTGGACTCAAATCCCACCCCTTCACTCCCTACTGGGTGACCCTGACAACTGAGTGGTTCCGTCTGAGCCTCAATTTCCTCATCTGTAAAATGGGGGTCTATGACTTACCTCACAGGGTTCTGTGAGAATCAGAAGAAATAACTAATGTAAACTGCTTGGCACTTAATGGTGCCAGTGGGGTCAATACCAAATAACACCTTGCTCTTTCCCACTTGGCTGGAATGACCCTCTGACCTGTTTTGCTATGAACCTCTAATTCTGGAGAATTCTGCGAAGGCAGGATTTGTGTGCTCCTCTCTGAACAGGAGGTAGCACACAGCAGGCATTCAACATTTGTACAACAAATGGATGCATGCCACCTACTCCAGGACTCCTTCCAGGTCCACCTTGGCATCTTTTTCTCCCCAGAATACCCAGGGAACAATGCTCCTGACTCCTACTCAGCACCCCGGACTTCGCCTCGGTATTCTCGGTAATGTAGGTGCCAAGTTAGAGGGCGGGTCCCGGGCTATTCCAAGGCAAGGACCTTGTCCTGGTTCATAATCCACGCCACCCCACCTACCTCACCCGAGGAACCCTTCAGTACCCGAGACGCAAGCAATTGTTATCACAAGTTTCTAGCAGGTGAAGGGAAACCAAAACCAGCTGGAGGAAGCTGGCTCATCCCCATCTTCATTACTGCTCAGGGAGCCAGTGACACCTCCGCCCGATATGCCACTAGACACCCCCAAAACTCCTGCTCTGGCCCCACTCGCAGACCCACCGGGAGAGGGAGGAGATAAGAGGGTTCAGCCAGCCCCGGAACCCGGACAAACAAATGCTGTCGGAGAGCCCGGGGGAAGGATGGAGGGAGGAGGAACTGGGGAGGGCGAGGGGAGCCTTGAGAAAAGGGTCAGTGTACAGGCAGTTCGTTACCTTCGCCGCCCGCTTGCTCGCCGTCATCTCGGGTCCGAGTGTGCGCTCCGGCGACTCAGCGGCGGTGTACGCCCGCCCGCGGCCCGGCGCGCCCCGCCCCGAGCACCCCACCTCCGGAAACCCCGCCCGCGCGCACGCGGGGGCGAGGGAACCCGCTCCGTCCTTCTCCGCTGATCTCGGGAAGCCGCGGAGGGCGGGGGACGACTGGGCCCGGCCCGCTCTCTGGCGCGGTGGGCTCGGGCCCCCGCCACTCGCGCTCTCCGTCGGGCACGCAGCGTGGCCGGGCCCGGGCGTCCCGCTGGGGGGCGCCGTGCACCAAGCGGCGAGCGCTCGGAGGTGCGCGCTGGTGTCCGCCCATCTGGGTTCTGGTTCCACTCTGTCGCCAAGGGCCGCGCTCGGAGCCCCCCATCTCCCGCCTCCCCAGACACTCACTCGCCTGTCTTTGCAGGACGCTGGCTCCACACGCGCAGCTCGCGACAGATCGCTCGGCCGTCTCCACCCTCAAATCGCCGCAGAGAGCTCCCCCAGCCAGCTCCCGGAGCCCCTTGGACGAGTCATTTCCCCCATCTGGGCCCCGTACCCCACCTCCAAAAACGGGTGGGGGGCGATGTAGGCTATATGCCCCCCAAGGGCCCCTCCCCCTTGCAGTTTGTGCGGTCCAGTCTTCAGTGGCAAATTGCAGGGTCATTTCTCCCAGGCGACGGCTGGATTGTGCACAGCACCGCGAGGGGACGCTGTTGGACCCATCCTCAATCTTTGAGGTTTGGGTCCTTTATTAGGTTTAATATTTAGTAAGTGCCTACTAGGTGCCAACTGGGAAAACAGTTGGGTGGGGGCAGCCCCACGACAGACTTCAGGAGCCTCCCTATTTCACCATCGGTCTTTCACACCCTGCAGGGGCTCTAGGGCAGAGACCCCTGCCCCAGCCAGGATCTGAGGCCACAGTGGAAGAGCAGCCCCTGAGCCCCGAGCAACATTCGCGGAGGAATATCCTAGTAATAACGAGACTACTGGGAGGATTGAACCCGTCTTCCTCACCCCCAGCGCTTTCGTTCGGTCCAGATGAGAAAAGAATTCGGCATGTTTTGAGCCCCTATTTTGAGTTCTGCGCTCACTATCTCATGTAGTTTTTATCTAAGTTTCGTGGAATCTGAAATCGAATGACTTCTCTGCTCAGATGTGCGATGTATTTGCAGAACGATTAGTTGTTTAATTCAAGCCGATAAACTTTAACCAGGCACCCTCTGTATGCCAGGAATGAATAGCACACTGTCCACAGTCCCTTAATCTAGGTAGTGATGAGGGAATCGAGGTGTTTGACCCTACCCCTGGTCACTCACCTCAGTTCACATGCGTTTTGTGTACTGTGGAGTGTCAGGCACTAACTTTCAGGGAATTAGCACAATGAGAGTGAGGGGTCCCATCCTGCCCTTGAGGAGGGTAAGAACACAGCCTTACATTTTTATTTTATTTATTTCTTTATGTATTGATTTGCGAAAGAGGAAGGGAGAGTAAGAGATGTGCTCCTCCACTCATTTATGCATTCATTGGTTGATTCCTGTATGTGCTCTGACCAGGGATGGGACCCGCTACCTTAGCACCGTGACCATGAGGGTGACGCTCCAACCAACTGAGCTACCCAGCCAGGGCAGCCCCTGCATTTCTAGTACCAAGTGCTAAGCTTGAGGATGTAGGGAGAGCCTGGAGGGTCACCGGATGCAGCCTCAGAAAGGAGCAAGGTTTCCTGGAAGAGATAAAAACCCAGGTGCATTGCAAAGCATGGTGAGTTAGCTGGAGTAAGAACTGGGGACGAGAGTGTTCCCAGACGAGGGAACTGTGAGCAAAGGTGTAGAGGTGGTCGGTACACATGGAACCGGAAAGTAGCTCCATATGCGGAGCCTAGTCTGTCCAAAGTTTTGTGACTCTCCTTCCTTCCTCTTCCAGAAACCCTGCTAAGTGACATGATTTCAGAGTCATGGATTTAGCCCAGCCTCCCTGTCCTGGGATGGACCCTAACTGCCCACACAACTGGGAGACCCATGTGCACCGCCTTCTCGTCCTGACACAATGCAGACCTTTGAGTGTGTGGCAGGATGAGCCCTGAGGAGCCCTGAACTTCACTTCCACATCTGTCCCCAGGGCGGCATGGCCTTGGGCGAGCCATGGAACCTCCCACCTGCTTCCCAGGATTGCTGGGAGGCTAAGCTCACAGAAGTGGAGAACGTTGAAAATTGTAGCTCCCATGTATCAATGACCAGGATTCAACCTCAGCTCTACCGTTATTGTCTGAATAACCTTAGCCTGTCTGTGCCTCCATTTCTTCATCTATAAAATGGGGCTAATGGTAGTGGATGGAGTAAGGAATTGATTTTGGACAATATGTGATAGTTATAATCATGCTGGAATATTCGCCTTCGTGTGCCTGCAGCAGGTCTGGAGGGATTCAACATCCCCTGAGTCCCTGGGGAGGGCGACTAGGCGACTGAGTATAGCAAGGGAAGGAAAACTGCTCACTATGAACCCCATTTCCTTTTAAATCTTTGAACAATGTGAATAAACTACCTCTTCAAAACCAGAGAACATTTACATTTAACAATATTCTCTTTTTAAAATTAAAAGGTTTTTTACATTACCATTTTTATTCTTTTTTTGAATATTTTGTTTGTATTTATTTATTTAAAATAGTTTTTTTTTTAATTGTTAGAGAGAGGGGAAGGGAAGAAGAAAGAGAGGGAGAGAAACATCAGTGTGTGGTTGCCTCTCACATGGCCCCCACTGGGGACCTGGCCTGCAACCCAGTTATGTGTCCTGACTGGGAATCAAACTGGCAACCCTCAGGTTTGCAGCCCGTGCTCAATCCACTGAGCTAAGCCAGCCAGGGCTGACATTTTTATTCTTGAAAAATGAGGGCTTTGCGATACCAGGCCCACCATCCCTCGCGGCAGAGCCTGCCTGGAGCAAAGTCTGAGCTGCTGCCGTAGAGCAAGAGGGCAGGTCGAGCTGCCCTGCAGGCCTCACTGCCCTGCAGGCCTCGCCTCTCCAGGTTTCCAAGTTTCTTCTGGCCTGGCCAGCCTCACCAGCTGTTTTAGCCACCTAGCCCTGTAAGGAGCCCCTGCTCTTCAGTGTCTTTGCACTTGCTAACTTCCTATCTCTTGGACCTCTCTTTTTCTTCCTTCCCCCTGGGTCCGGGTTTTCCAGGCCCCTTGATGGCTGTGGACGTTGCAGTCATAGATGTGTACCTGTCTGGAAGGTGTGACTATGCCTGGTTCCCAGGACCCTTCCAGGGACTTCACAGGGAACAGTGTCATCTTCAGCCTTTGGATGAGGCAGGAAGTTTCTTTCTGGCAGCTCTGTCATTGCCAGGATGTCACAGAGACCACCTGAAAGAGTCGGCGTGGGGGCATACGCTTCAGACACTAGGGGCCGTATGACACCTCAGTAGTATGTTTAAAGATGACAGTACATACATTTATGTTTGCATGTTAGAGACAAACCTGGAGGATACTTAAGAACCTGATAGAGTAGTTATCAGTTTGGGAGGAAAAAATAGTTGTTTATGCCACCCAAAACAGGCCAGAACCAGAGCAGGCCTGCCTCAGGCTGGCCTGTAGTGCATGAGTTCCTGCCTTGGTGCAGGAAAAATTTCACAGCCCAAGCCCAGCTGATTCTGAGAGTATATTTATTAAAGCCGGGGACAGTGGAACGAAGGAAGAGCATAGGGTAAAAGAAGCAACAGGCCTTGCTCTGCTTTGTCTCCCTAGAAATGTGGTAGGAAAGGAGTGGCCCACACCGGGCTGCATGAACTCACTGAGAAGTAAAAGCCACAGTGACAGAAGGGAGCCAAGTGGGGCTGCCGTGAGCTCCCTGGGAAGTCGGGGAAAAGGGGCCTTGCAGGCAGATGCAGGGAGTAAGCCCAGGAGGAGCTGCTGCTGCCCACTGGTCCTTGCTGCCCTGGTTGCAAGTCTCTTGGGGACCCCAAGAGTTTAGGAGAAACAAAGTAAAAAGTTCATGTCCAAAAAAAAGGCGTGGGTGTGCTCCAGAGAGAGCCCACGCTGGCATCCTTTGTCTCAAGAATTTTTTTTTAATAGAAGTATTTTTATTTTTTTAATATTTTATTTATTTATCTTTAGAGGGGAAGGGAAGGAGAGAGGGAGAGAAACATCAATGTATGGTTGCCTTTCGTGCGTCCCCTGCTGGGAACTGGCCTGCAGGGACCTGGTCTGCAACCCAGGCATGTGGCCTGACTGGGAATCGAACCGCTATTGTCTGGTTCGCAGGCCCGCGCTCAATCCACTGAGCTACACCAGCCAGGGCCATCAAGAATTTTTTATCTCTCTTCTGCAGGCGGGAATCCTAGGGGAGGTTTTGGGGAGGGGTCTTACCAGAATATTCACTAGTTTTCCAGGTGTATCCTTCAACATGTTGACTCATCTAAATGAGCTCACGGGGGAGTATGGGATCATTCTCTGGTCAGCCTCACTGCCCTGCTTTTATTTTGGCTCGGTCTGGCTCTAATCAGGTTTTTGTTATTTTTTCTCCTCCGTGAGCCCATTTGTCCTTGGGGTTGGCTGGCAGAAACGCACTAATTTGGTTTCTGCTCTCTATCTCCCCAACCAGGGTGCTTTACACTGTGTATTCTCTGGTCAGGGAGGAGGGATGCAAACCATTTGCTCTCACGTGTTCTTGGTTAGGGAAGATGCGGTTACTAGCTGGCTGTAAATTGTTCAGATTATTTCACCTTGTTTAATTGTCTTGTCTCAGTTTCCTCATTCCACTTACCAAGAAATTTTCCTAGCTTCTTACTGTCCCGCCTCAGTCTACACACATCCTTTCCAGACTGTCTGCCTTTTTTTTTTAATAGTAACTCACAAGCATTCGTTATGGAATCTGTCATACATACGATAATCAAGAAGAGCTGTAAAGTCATGTTAACAGTTGTAGCTTCAGGATCTAGCTCCCTGCTTGGCACGTGGAAGGCATCGTCAGCTCACCACGAGCATTCTCCTCCTCTGCAGCAGCAGCTGCCCCGAGAAAGCCGGTCTCCAAGCTGCACCCGGGGTGGGGGAAGGGCGGGGGCCACACTCAGGTGAGCTCTCCAGGCCCAGGAAGCCCAGGTGAGCACGGAGCTGAGTCCCCTTCTGCCCTTCCTTGTCTTTGTCTTATTTTACAACTCTATAGGTTGTAGTAACTGACAGCGTGCAAAACAATTCTCTTTTTAAAACGAACTTTAAATTGTATCATTTAATTACAGTCTACATGCAGTATTACTTCGTATTAATTTTCAGGTGTACAGCATAGTGGTTAGATAATCATATACCTGTTTCACCTGTGCTCCCAGCCCCCATCCTCTCCCACAGTGGTCCCTCTGTTCTCTGTATCGATGAATCTGTTTCTATTTTGTTTGTTTTGTTCATTAGATTCCACTTATAAGCAAAATCATATGGTGTTTATCTTTCACTGCCTGGCTTATCTCACTTAGAATACTACTCTCCAGGTCCATCTATGCTGTCACAAAAGGTAAAATTTCCTTATTCTTTATGACTGAGTAGTATTCCACAGCTTTTTTATCCACTTATCTCCTGATGGACACTTGGGTGGCTTCCAAATTTTGGCTATTGTAAACAACACTGCAATGAACTTAGGGGTACATATATTCTTTCAGATTAGTGTTTTGAATTTATTCAGATAAATTTCCAGAGGTGGAATCACTGGGTCATGAGGCAGGTCCATTTTTAATTTTTTTCAGGAAACTCTACAGTATTTTCCACAGTGGCTGCACCAGTCTGCAATCCCACCAACACTACACGAGGGTCTCCTTTTCTCCACATCCTCACCAATACTCGTTGTTTGTAGACTTATTGATGACAGCCATACTGGCAGATGTGAGGTGATATCTCATTGTGGTTTTAATTTGCATTTCTCTGATGATTAGTGATGTTGAGTATCTTTTCATATGTCTATTGGCCACCCGTATGTCCTCTTTGGAGAAATGTCTATTCAGATGTTTCTGTCCATTTTTTCATTGGATTATTTGGGAGTTTTGGTGCTGAGTTGTATAAGTCCTTTATAAATTTTGGATATTAACCCTTTATCATATGTATCATTGGCAAATATGTTCTTCCATTTATTGGTTATATTTTCATTTTGTTAGTGGTTTCCTTTGCTATAATCCCATTTGCTTATTTTTTCCTTTGTTTCCCTTGGCAAAATAATTCATATGGACATGCAAATTCTTTCTAGTGGAGGTTTAATTGACCTACTTCCCTCCCACCCCATGGAAAACACAGTTTTGCTTCCATTTACATATTCATGTTAATTCTCTATCTATAAATATGTCTGTTGCAGAGTCCCTTGATTCCTTTTTTAATATTTATTTACTTACTTTAGAGAGAGGGGAAGGGAAGGAGAAAGAGAGGGAGAGAAACATCTGTGTGAGAGAGAAACATCACCTCTCACGCTTGTGCCACAGTGGGGAACCAAACCTGCAACCCAGGCATA